TAAGCCACATAACCTATAAAGTCTCCTCAGACAATACTAGTAAGAAATAATCCCTACTTCCTGTGCACACAATAGTTTATCTTTCTTAAAATACCTTCTATAGTTTACCCTTGTCCTAAAATTATGTGTCTCATGTCTTATTCTTCTTGGTATGTGCCACAGTACCCTAGTACAATGCCTGGCATACAGTATCTACAAAATAAAGATCTGTCAAACTGATAAAATGACACTACAAATAATTACAGGTATATACAGCATTCAGAAAGCATGCTAGTTTTCTAAAGAACCTTCTCATTCATGTATATATCCCTAGCTCAGGCCATTACCATTGCAACAACATCTGTATCTACTCAGCATCTTCCTCTTGCAATGGGTTATTCTGTGAAGAGTACATACCTTAACTGTTTTGATTCACTGCTCAACACTATGGGCTTTCAAATCAAAGTAAAAGTCCTGATCTCATACCTTTAGGTTATCTACCCAAATCTGTCTACTCTTTATATAAATATCCACATTCTAGCCTAAGTTCTTCACAATAATTTAAAGGGTCTTCAATTATGCCCACCTGTACTTTTTACTTACTAGTCAATCATGCTGTGTCTCCAAGTGGAACATCCTTTAGCATTTTCTACACAAAAACAGCTCCACTTTCGCACCAAAATTATTAGTCTCAAAGTCTCATTCCTCTTCCTTAGAGGCCTTCCCAGGCAGCATTATATATTTTGAGTCACTTCAGTTGGTCTACCAAATTCATTACTTAATATTTGCTCTGTCATTTATAATCACATTTATGTTACTCAATTATATATGTTTGAATTAATGTAGGGAATTCTGCTTTAAATCAAGGATGATGAGCTCACAACAGAATACGCATCTGTAAAAAGAATTCTGATCCAGTGTTGTAGTCTTCAGCATAGCAAATACTAGTGGAAGAATAATGTAGTTGTAGACAGCACAGACTGTGAAGGCAAGACTATCTGAGTTCAAATTCTGGCTTTGGTATTTTTTAGTACCTTGGATAACTCACTTAACATCCATGTTCATCAGCTTCATCAGAGTTATTTTAAAAATGACATGAGTTAATACATATAAAATCCTTTAAAAAGCATTTGGCACATAAATTCAGCACAATCTTCTATTGTTTTGACTTTTAGCCTCTCACTTATAGCTGAGAATACTAATGTGCAAAAAATTTAACAACTTGCCAAAAGTCACAGGAACTAGTAAGTTGTAAAGTCAGAAAAGAAACATGAGATTCCTACTAGAGGAGTCTGTCTCACCATTTTATTCAATATCTTTTCAATAAATTGAAATTTTATTCAATTTGTTTAAGGTCTTCGGGACCATTATATGATTAAAAATGATAAGAAGAAACAAATTTTTAAAAGGAAAAGGAGATTTATAAACTAACTCATGGATTAAGAAAAGAAGCAAGAAATATAATAATAATAGAAGAGAGAGCACAGGCTTATGCTCATGTAAATGGAGGGGACAGGTAAGTATTCCAGAGAACTGGGTTAAGCATATTATGATGGAGCCAGCCTGGCCAACATGGTGAAACCTCATCTCTACTAAAAATACAAAAATTAGTTGGGCATGGTGGTGCACGCCTGTAATCTCAACTACTCAGAAGGGCTGAGGCAGGAGAATCACTTGAACCCAGGAGGCGGAGGCTGCAGTGAGCCAAGATTGCGCCACTGCACTCCAGCTTGGGTGACAGAGTGAGACTCTGTCTCAAAAGAAAAAATAAATAAATAAATAAAATAATAAAGAAAAAATATTATTAGGATGGAGGTAACTGTCAGCTTTATTTTCCATTTAAGACATAATGATGTCCTTGCTTGCATTAAAATCACTTACCTTTAGCAGTTCAGAAAGTCTTTTTTCAGCCAGGTGCAGTGGCTCACATCTATAATCCCAGCACTTTGGGAGGCTGAAGTGGGTGGACTGCTTGAGCCCAGGAAATTGAGACCAGCCTGGGCAACAGGGCAAGACCCCATCTCTACAAAAAAATTTAAAAGTAGCTGGGCGTGGTGGTAGTCCCAGCTACTCAGGAGGCTGCGGTAGGAGAATCAACCTGGGCCCAGGAAGTGGAGGCAGTAGTGAGCCAGCCATGATGGTACCACTGCACTCTAGCCTGGGTGACGGAGTGAAACCCAGTCTCCAAAAGAGCAAAAAAAAAAAAAAAAAAAAAAAAAAAGGGGGGGAAAGAAAGCCTTCTTTCTCTGTTCCATCAAAAGCTCATCACTTCAAAATTAAAAATGTGTGAAATAGTTTTATTTTTTCATATAGAATTTCAATGTTTACATATGGACAAAGAAATCACAAATTTCAGAAATTTAGTAAGGAACTTAGAGGGGCATCAATGTATTTACCATCTACATTTAACTTTTATCCTTTAAATGTCTGAAGGTCATGTTCAGGACCATCACTATTTGCCCTAGGCATTTCCTTAGATAAAAACCCAATGGTTACTTAAAATATACACTCTGTCCTAACAAAAATACTATATATTATATAACCTCTCACCTCCCACTCTAAAAAAAACTCTAAAGGAAAAATACAGGTAATTCAGTTTATCAGGGCAGGAAATTATGTTTCGTAAGAACACTATATTTTAGATATTTGTTAAACAATATCTGTCCCCCTAATTATATGCCCTTTGCTTATAGCCAACCTCTTTGTATGCTCCTACAGGGGCAACCAATACCCAGCTTAGGCCAAAATGAATATCAGCATTAGTAATCGAAAGACCCTTGTATGGTTATGAATATTTTGTGAAAATATACCACAAAAGTAAATTTCTGAATATTTTACATTTTAAAGTGATGATCAAAATACAGTAGAAAATGAATACAGAAAATATATGTCCGAAATGTACATTCAATAACACATGCTTTTGTAACCTGAATCTGTATTTCTTTAGGCCTCCACTATAAAACTGCATATAGTCTCAGAAAAAAAAGGAAGACTCTCAAAAATAGAGAGGGATTGCTTTAAGAAAATAAAACCAGGTAAAGAGAATAAAAGGCAAGCTTAATATCCAAAAGAAATGCACAGTTTTTAACCCAATTCCAACTTCCAAAAATAACTGAAATTTCAGGAACTTCAGAAGAAAAAAGCAAATAGAGAAGACCACACTTCTTCAGCTCTTCAAACAATCTTTTCCAAATTGTTTAACAATGCTATGTGTTTTTTAAAATGTGGATTTTTCTCCCCTTCCTTCAAATTCTGGCAACAGTTGCTAAATGTTTTATACTCCACATATTCATATAATTTCCATGAATTAAGCCTACTTTAAAAGGCAAAGGCTAGGTATAAGCTGAGAGGAGTGCTTTCAAAAAAAAAAAAGGCAAAGGCAGGAGAGCAGAAACTGATGTTCATTCCTTCTCAAATGATAACATACTGAGCTTACAACATCTCGTAAAACTGTCTAGCTCTGGCCGGGCGCGGTGGGTCACGCTTGTAGTCCCAGCACTTTGAGAGGCCAAGGTGGGTGGATCACCTGAGGTCAGGAGTTCGAAACCAGCCTGGCCAACAGGCAAAACCCTGTCTCTACTAAAAATATAAAAAAGCCAGGCACGGTCGGTGCCTGTAATCCCAGCTACTTGGGAGGCTGAGTCAGGAGAATGGCTTGAACACAGGAGGTGGGGGTTGCAGAGAGTTGAGATCGCGTCACTGCACTCCAGCCTGGGCGACAGAGCGAGACTCCATCTCAAAAAAAAAAAAAAAAAAAATTGTCTAGTTCTGTTACCAGAAGACCATGTCACCAATACTAAACTTTAACTTCTTAAACTCTGGTTTGTGTAAAGTCAAAAGTTGTTCTGGCCAAATAATTCATTTTATATATCCCGATAACTGGCTTACTGAATTCCCTCTGCTGAATCCAATAAATCCTCCTTACTAAATCTCACTGCTGTTATACCTCATGGACTCATGTGATCCCAATCTAATCACAGTTTGAGATCTTTATCTTTGAGGCTCAAAAGTTTTAACCCTTTACCAGGAATGGGCATACAACAAATTTATTTGACCAAGCATTTACTCAGTTTCTTTCATCTTATCCTATTCTCTTTGCCCTGATTCGTGCTGCAAACATTTACTAGTATCTATTATAAGCTGTGAAAAATGGTAACACAGAAGATACAAATGTAAGGTATTTTCTCTGCCCTTAAGGGGCGCATATTCCAGTAGAGGAGACAAATACAAAAACAAATAATTTCTACAAAGTGTGAGAAATTCTATAAGAGAGTTTTATAAAAATTCTAGAACACAAATGGAAGAGAGTAAGGGAAGCTTCACAAAGCAGTTAACATTTGAAATGGTCTTGAAGAACAGTAAGGTAGGATGGATATGTGTTTCTATGTATTAGCTGAGATGCTAGAAATGTAGAAAGGATGAGGAAAGCTGATGGCAGTCAAAGTGCTGACTAAAAATATGTTAAAATAGACAACTTAGGATATTAACTATAGTTCCTTTTTTGTTTCACTCTTGCAAACTAATTTTAACCATTAATTCACAAGTAAGAATTATCTTACAAGCAATACACACACACACAACTTAGAAATGTTGTGTACAAAGTGACTATTAAATGGACAGAACCAGGAAAAGGTATTTTGAGGACAATGGGGAAAATTCAATGCAACCAAACTGGTCCTCTATAATAGAAGGGAATAGCTGTGTTACATAAAACTATTCCTAAATGTTGTAGATGCAGAGAAAAGAATACCAAACTAAAACTCAAGAAAGCTGGATTCAAGTCTCAAACAACAGCTGCGCCCTAATTATGACAAAACCTTTTGCTTAAGTCCTAAACTGCCCCTCAGAGTTAAGATCAAATAAAATGAGTCTGAAAAGTGTTCTGAAAAATGTAAAATGCTACACAAATAAAATCTTACTTTCATTATAGTTACATGCGCTACATTGGAAAAGAACTTTAAAAATCTGTATTTCAGACATATTCAATGCATTATACTAAATTTATGACAAAGAGCCTTTACCCGTTCTACAGATCGTGCCCTCTTCTTTGGCCGAGTAGGCAGCGCATCTTCCTTCGGATTGGTGTCTATTGCCCAATAGGACCCCTAGAGGTAAAGAAATTATATTAACAGTATAGTACAGCAACCCTATGATATTAAAATGGATTTTTATAATCTTTTGCATCAAAAGCAAACATTCTGCAAATACAATGGAAAAACAGCATAAGAAACACTTGTTTTGAACTGAGAAAAAGATTATATAAGAAAATATATCCACATATAGTTACATTATTAAAAGAAAACATTCATAAGCTGAAGAATCCAAATCTAAGAACTTCTGCCACACCAAAATTTAGAAAGAAAATGATCAACAAAACACATTTTTAATATACGGTGATTCTCAACTGAACAGATGTTAATTATATGACATTAAAAGAATTTAATGTATAAAGATACTGTAGTTTCTATATCCTGGGACCTCACAAATCTACATGGTTAGTGAAACATTTTTAAAGACAAACTGCTTGAAAACATTTTATATAGTAAGTGTTCCTAAGAAGCAAAGATATGTGCATAAATTTTTTACTGCTTACTCTGTCATGACTTAACTATTCCCTCTTACTTTTTGATACAAGTTATCACAGCATTCATTTGAAAATATGTATGGAGCACCTACTGTGTTTCAGGCACTCAGAAACGGTAACTCTCCAAAAAAACAAACAAACAAACAAAAACTTTGGAAAAGCATAGATCCATAGATACAGTTTGCAAACATTATACAAACAAGAATAGCAAAACACAGAAAGATAAAGTGGCTTTCCCATTCAAAGTTGTGAGAACCAGGAACAAAGACAAACAGAAACAAAGTTGGATTTTTAGCTCCTTTTCCTTCAATTATCCTGCCTCTATACACACAATTGGGGGAGGAAAGCATGAAAGAAGGGAGTTCAAGAAAGGGAAAGAGGGAAAGGAGGAAGATATGCATTTCAGAAACAGAAACACAATGTACATCCTAGTTTTACAATTAATCCCAGTGATCACATCCAAATTTAGTCTTCATCTCTACTATCTCATTAATCTTCCTAGGCTGTTTTTTAAGGCAACATTTGACAATGACGGGAAATACAACTCTCACCTATCAATCCTCACACTTTATGCCCAACATGAATCATCTCCTTATACTTTCTTGAACATACCATGTTGTTTATCTGTCCTGTCCTACATGCTGACCTCACTACTTTAATGCCCACCATACCAATGACAAACTCATATTTCCACCTTCAAATTTTACCTCATATTATCCAAAGGAATCCTCCTTTGATCTTCCTGCCATACCCAAGAATTCATCACTCTCTCCCTCTGCAAGATCTCTATACTTTTTACACATTTGGACCATTGTTTGCAATTAACATTCAATTCTGTTTACAGGTCTGTATCCCCTTCTAGGCTATATATATGTATTCCTTAAGGGTAGGGACTATTTTACTTGTTTCTATATCCACAGTGCCAGGCACAATGTCAGACACAAAGCAAGTACTCAATTAACATCTGTTGAAATGAGAAGGGGGAAAAAAGCTGTTTAACAAACTACACCAAGAATATCAGTGTACTGGGTGTTACTATGTACATGCCAGTGTACACTGTTGGTGTACAAGGTAGGTGTCCATGTCTCGGATCCTGGTCGATGCAGGTACCGGAGCTTAACACTCATTTCATCACCCAGCCACTGCTGGGGTATTTCTATGTTATCTTTTCAAAAGAGTCACTACATTTCAGCTAAGAGTCTACCAGACCTGGTAAGAATCTGCTAGGTAGGACCTATGAACTTGCCAAGAACCCTGTAAAATGCAGATGCTACAAAAAGCACTAAAAATGGGAAAACAATGATTTTGGGAAAACAATGATTTAGGTTTGGCTAGCAAGTTTCAAAATAAATGCAATGGGGAAAAATTTTACACTGAGTTCTTAAAAAATTAAAAATAAAGTAGGAGAGAAAATACCAAAATTCATTGGACAACAGTTTAAAAACCACTTTTCATAAAAATGATAAACTCCGGCATTTACTTTTGTTTTGGATGGGTGTGTATATGTGTATTAATCTGGGGAAACCATTCAATGTCCAAACTACACTGATTTTTAAGTAAACGTTTCAATAAAATTACAAAAACAGATATCTCTTCTTCTACACAAAATACGAATGGTTGTGGCTTGTCACAAATAAATCAACAAAAGGGAAAAAACTTGCCCATAGCCTATTACTATCCACTAGGTATTCATAAAATCCTGAACGCCTAAATGCAAATTCTAATAATTAAAGATTCACAAAAGTAATTGTAAAATCTTCCACCAAATAGTTCAGGCTAACAAAGTATTTGAGCCTGACCTCTGAAACCACAGGTTTGAATAAAGAGACCTTAAAATTCCTCTTCACATAGCAAAACCATAGTGAGATAACACTTTATACCCACTAGGATGTCTATGATGAAAAAAAAAAAAAACAGAAAATAGCAAGTACAGGCTAAATATCCCTTATCCAAATATCCAAAATGCTTGAAATCAGAAATCTTTTGGATTTCAGATTTTTTCAGATTTTGGAATACCTGCATATAACTAACGAGATATCTTGGGGATGGGACTCAAGTCTAAAGCTCAAAATTGATTTATGTTTCATATAAACTCTTATACACATAGTTTGAAGGTGATTTTTTGTAATCATTTTAATAATTTTGTGCATGAAAACAAAATTTTAACTGTAATCCATCATACGAGGTGAGGCATGGAATTTTCCACTAGTGGCATCATGTTGGTGCTCAGTAAGTATTAGATTTTATAGCATTTGTATTTCAAATTTTCAGATTAAGAATGCTCAACCTGTATTGGCAAGCACGTAGAGAAACTGAAACTCTTATGCACTGCTGACAGAAATGTGTAAAGGTGTAACCACTGTAGAAAATATGGCAATTCCTAAAAAAATTACATGGAATTACCAAATGATCCAGCAATTCCACTTCTGGATATATATCCAAAAGATACGAAAGTAGAAAGTCAAGTATTTACACACCCATGTTCATAGTAATATTACTCACAACAGCCAAAAGGTAAAGCAGCCCAAGTGTGCATTGAAGGATAAATGGATAAACAAATACACCACATACATCCAATAGAGTATTATTCAGCCTTAAAAAGGAGGGATATTCTAGCCGGGGGCGGTGGCTCACACCTGTAATCCCAACACTTTGGGAGGCCGAGGAGACAGATTACGAGGTCAGGAGATCGAGACCATCCTGGCTAACACAGTGAAACCCCGTCTCTACTTAAAAAAAAAAAAAATACAAAAAATTAGCCAGGCATGGTGGCAGGCACCTGTAGTCCCAGCTACTCGGGAGGCTGAGGCAGGAGAATGGCAAGAACCCAGAAGGCGGAGCTTGCAGTGAGCCCAGATCACACCACTGCACTCCAGCCAGGGCAACAGAGTGAGACTGTCTCCAAAAAAACAAGAGAGATACTCTGACATATAAGCCAGTCACAGAAGGACAAATATTGTATGATTCCACTTATAAGTAGTAAAATTCCTAGAGACAAAGAGTATAATGATGGTTGGTAGGGGATGAGGGGAAAGGAATATAGGCACTTATTGTTTAATGAGTAAAGAATTTGCCGGACGCAGTGGCTCACGCCTGTAATCCCAGCACTTTGGGAGGTCGAGACGGGAGGATCACAAGGTCAGGAGATCGAGACCATCCTGGCTAACACGGTGAAACCCTGTCTCTACTAAAAATACAAAAAAAAAAAAAAAAGTAGCCGGGCGTGGTGGCGGGCGCCTGTAGTCCCAGCTACATGGGAGGCTGAGGCAGAAGAATGGCATGAACCCGGGGGACGGAGCTTGCAGTGAGCCGACATCGCGCCACTGCACTCCAGCCTGGGCGACAGAGCGAGACTCCGTCTCAAAAAAAAAAAAAAAAAAAATTTAAGTGGGAAGATGAAAAGGTTCTCGAGATGGATGGTAGTGATGACTGCACAACAATGTGAATGAACTTAATATTACTGAACTGTATACCTAAAATGATTCAAATGGTAAGAATTATGTTATGTATATTTTACCACCAAAAAAGTACCTCTCAGCCTTTTCTTTTTTTCTAAACACAGTGGCACGATCATGGCATAATGCAGCCTTGACCTCCCAAGTTCAAGTGATCCCAAGCCTCACAAGTAGCTGAGACCACAGACACTCCACCTCCACCCCTGGTTTTTTGTTTGTTTGTTTGTTTGTTTTGAGACAGACTCTCACTCCTCTGTTGGCCAGGCTGGAGTGCAGTGGCGCAATCTCAGCTCACTGCAACCTCCGCCTCCTGGGGTCAGGCAAGTCTCCTGCCTTAGCCTCCCAGGTAGCTGGGATTATAGGCGCCCACCGTCACGCCCAGATAATTTTTGTATTTTCAGTTGAGACGGGGTTTCACCATGTTGGCCAGGCTGATTTCAAACTCCTGACCTCAGGTGATCTGCCTCCCAAGTGCTGGGATTACAGGTGTGGGCCACTGCACCCTGCCTAGTTTTCTGATTTTTTGTAGAAATGGGGTCTTGTCATGTTGCCCCGGTTAGTCTCAAACTCTTGGGCTCAAGTGATCCTCCTGCCTTGGGCACCCCAAAATGCTGGGGTTACAGGTGAGCCACCACACCCGGCCATCTAAGAAGTGTTACCTTTGCTCTTCCTTGTTAGGCAATATAGAAATCTCACAAAAACTGAACTGACATTTTAGATAGCCAATCAACAAACACAGGCTCAGTTCAATTTCCTCCCAGAGTAGGGTCTATACCACTAGGCTCATGTGGAGCAAGTAGGAAACAGGAGGTTTTTGTTTAAGTGGGTTTTTTTGTTTTTTTGGGCAGGGAAAAGGGTGTTGAGGCAAGGTCTTGTTCTGGTGCCAACAATGGAACACAGTGGCACACAATCATAGATCACTGCAACTTCACACTCCTGGGCTTAATCAACACTCCTTCCTCAGTCTCCTGAGTAGGTAGGACTATAAGTGCCTGCCACCAGGCCCAGCTAACATTTTTCTTTATCTTTTTGTAGAGACAGGGTCTTGCTATGTTGCCAAAGCTAG